TAGAAACGAGGTGCAATGGAACCAGGTATAACAAGAGAGAGAAGATGGCTAAATTCAGCCAATTCCCCTGAGCAGTTACTCCTTTTATGGCTTCCACACATCACCTAAATTAAGAAGCATAAAAGCCTTATTCAAAGACAAAACCTCTGTAGCAGGTGGCCAAGCTGAGACCAGTGATCTTTGGAATCAACTGACTCTGTGGACTTGAAAAACTTCAACTTCCTACCATCTTTCTGCCATCACACTGCCTTGCATGAGGGGACTGCATGAACTGGTGAGTAACATCCATCTCCCAAGTATTTTTTGAACACCTACTACACGCCAGGTATTTTTCTAAGATCTGGACAACAGGCAAGGTCTTCATGGGAATTACTTTCCAGAGAAAACATTAAAACAAGTAAAAAATAAGTGATGAGCTATATAGAGACACTCAGAGAATTTAACAATATTTTTCCCTAAACTCTGATTCATTTACACATCTAATTGTTTTATTTAGGAAATTTTGTCTATGAATCCATTGAAAAATTTTGATACACATGCCAGAACATGAACGAACCTTGAAGACATTACACTAAGTGAATTAAACTAGTCACAAAAAACTGGTACACTAGAGAAAAATACATATTTTAAATGGCTGACTGATTGAGTTTTAAGACAGTCAATTTCAAATCTTAAGAATTTTTGGTCAGGGCCGGCCCGGTGGCGCACTCGGTAGAGTGTGGCGCTCCCGCCAAGGGTTCGGATCCCATATAGAGACCGGTCCGCTCACTGGTTGAGCGCGGTGCGGGCGCGACACTGAGGGTTGCGATCCCGTTACCGGTCACGAAAAAAAAGACAAAATGGAAAAAAAAAAAAAAAAAAAAAAAAATTTCTGGTCAATTAAAGGTCCCTAAAAATAGGATATTTTGTCAGTTTTCAGGGTGTACTGATCAGTGCTTTTCTTCTGTACAGAAACTTTGCTGCTCCTACTCTAACTGGAAAAAATAGTAGAGACATTTTGCTATCAGAATTGACCTGCGGTGAACTGTTGGTAGGCACACCCTCAAAGTACTCTTACACAATGAAACTGAACTTTGACTTCAGCACTGCACTTCCCTCTTGAAGAGGTTACTAATGACTTGTCCCCAGATGTCACTTAATCAGCAGATCCTGTTTCTTTATATGTAAAGTGGGGTAACAAAGCACCCTGAAGACTAAATGAGACAGTGTATGTAAGAAAGGACCTAGTAAGGTCCTGGTCTGATATCAGTTAGTTCCCTCCCCCACCAACTGTAGAAGAGATCATCATTCCTAAATACAAACGTGTTATTATGATAACTATGAAAATCTTAAACTATAGTCTTATCTCATTCCTCCATTGACTTAAAATATGAACGTCATTTTATGTTCAGATCTAAGTAGATACACCAGAGCATCAGGGTAAGATATGAAGAACTTCGTTATAAACCCTCACACCTATACAAGTCTTGTAGCAGAAACATTTACGAAAGCTCCAGTGATTTAATGCCACCGACATTTTAAAATAAACATAAATCACTCACTGAAGTTTCAAAGTAACTTCAGTGCTTTGATGACTCAAAGCACACAAGAGGAAACTCTCCAAGTAACTACAGACAAGTTCATTTAGTGACCTAAACAAAATGAGTTAACATGTAGGCCAACTTGTAATGATTAAAGAAATACAATTATTACTGTACAAAAAATACAATTATTACTCTATCAAAGAAATATTCTCTAAATCAAAAAAGATTTAAGCAACCATGACAGGAAATCATGCTTTTCTGCCAATTTATAAAAAACTAGAGAAGGCCAATACATGAATGATAAGTTTTTAAGAGAGATGTCTCATTTACTCAACATTATAGTAACGTGTTCATGTCAATTCTTTTGCCAATGTATTTAACCTTAAAAAAAATCATACAATAAAATTAACACATATTTACTTTTGATGGATAGCTGTCATTTTAAAACATGTTACTACCACCACCACCATCAGGATAAAGAACAGTCCCATCACCTCAAAAAGCTCCCTCCTCCCGTCCATTTACATTCACACCCTTCTCCTTTACTCTCAGGACCACTGATCTGAGCCTCATCACTACAGTTTTACCTTTATAAAGGTAAATGAAGGTCAGATAAATGAAATCACACCTTTTGAACCTGGCTTCTTTCACTCAGCTTAAAACCTTAATTAAAGATCCATGCAAGTTGTTACAAATGTCAACAGTTCCTTTCTTTTTTTGCTAAGCAGTACTCATGGTATGGGTGTACCACACTTTATTTAACCATTCACTTATTAAAGGACATTTTGATTGGTTCCAGTTTGGAGCTATTATGAATAAAGCTGCTATGAACATTCAAGTACCGATTTTTGTGTGAACAGAAGTTTTCATTAGGAAAATACCCAGGCGTGGATTGCCGGATCATATGATAAATGCATGTTTAACTTCATAAGAAACTGCCAAACTTTTCCAGAGTGGTGGTGCCATTCTGCACTCCCACCAGCAATGTGTAAAGATTCCAGCTGCTCAGCATTTTTCCGAGCGGTTTGTATTGCCAGTATTTTTTTATTTCAGCCATTCTAGTAGGAATGTAGTGATAACTCGTCAAGGTTTTTAATTTTTTAACCATTTTAATGAGCATCTTTTTAAAAACAGTAACACTGCTTCACTCCCTTAAACAGAGAACGCTGAACATAAATTTCTCTAACTCAAAATTATCCTTACAGAATAAACTTTGTACTACCCTCAGGGACTACTAAAGTACATAGGGTTGCTTTCCTTTTTCCAAAATAGCCCCAGAATTATGCCTGCTTTTTATAGCTTTTAAAATCCTCTCCCTTGTTGTTGTCACTTCTTGCTATTAATGGTGTTCCTGCCTCTGGCAGACTTTCCTATTCACTCTCTTCCCAAGCTGAATTTAGAAAACAGATAACCAAGCTTATTAGAATTACATTTAAAAGGAGAGGGCAGTCTGTGAGTGAGAGCTTAAAGGATTCTTCAGTTAGAAAAGAGAAAGCCCATCATTGTACCTAAACTTCCTAACATCTCTCTTGCTTGCTGAGAAATTTCTAGTAGCTAGATTTCTCAGGCATTTTTCAAAAAGGCGAGGCTGCCAGATAAGTGACCACCAGGTAACTGAGTCATTACAATATTCATCTTGGAATTAACACTATGCTATGACTCTGGATCGGGAATTAAAAGCTTATCTAAAGCAAAATGTAGACAAAATTACCATGTGTCCAGAAACATAGGCAGTTTAAATCTAGTTCATTGATCAAAATTGTAAGCACTTACTAAGTGATGGCACTCAAAGGGGTGTAAAGATATATTTAAAGAAATTTACAATTAAAAAAGAATTCAACATTTCCTTCAAAAGGTACAGTGACCATATGTATACAAACTGACTCTAATACAATATTTACAGGGTTCCCTCGAAAGTCACTTCAATAGTTAAGAGCATAGCCGGGCTGTTACCAAAAGCAAGTAAAGCTCATCCTGTCTAGTTTTCCATCTCTGAACACGATAAAACTGGGAACGCTTTTTACGATCTCTTCCGAAACTAGATCACACTGGAAAAATGGCATCGCCTTAGTTCTCTGAGAGCCCCAGCCTCCAATTCAGAAAATGTGAGTGGCAGAGACACTTCCTCTCATCCCAACTTCCCTGAATAATGGCAGGCTGAGTGTCTGCCATGCTCACCCGCCAATCGCGACTTTGCCGGACACCTCCGCCCACAGACTTCAAAACCATTTCACCAATTGCAACAGGATCCTGGGTGGGACTTCCGCTATCATATTGGGCTTAACTATCACCATCTCATCCTAGGCAGTGCGGGCAATCATGAAGAGAGAGAATTTCACAAACTTTGAGCTCAAGCACTGTTTCAAGCATAAATAAAAGAACAAGTTAAAAGGCAGTGGCAAGGGCTAAAAAACCAAAAACAGACGTCAAAAATATTTTTTAAGAAAAATAATGAAAAGCAAGCAATCAAAACTTGAAGTCCAGGATCATTTATTTGCTTATCTTTACAGTCACTGCCGGGTCCTGAAGTGCTCCTCTGGCCCAGTTTCAGCCACAGAGCCCTCTGCCAAAGGGACAGCACAGGGCCGATAATGTGGAGCTCTGATTACCCACCCATCAGGGCACCGCTGAAGGTCACTCAATACTTACTGTGCCCCTGAAAAATAAACCCTTCAAGTTCACGCTTGTATTGCACAGCCCAAAAACGGCCTTAGCCCCTGATTTTGAACTACTACTTTCGCGTCAGGTATACAAAACTGAACTTCTCTAAAAAGACTTTTTTCACATAGACTCTAAATCACAGAACTGACAAAATCCCATTCTGTCACCTTTTACGATTCCTTGAAATCTAACACACAAAAAGCAGTCAATTTCTCCACACATCTTATCCACGGACAGGGTACTGCGTTCTGAAGACAAGGAAATGGGCTGGTCCCTACACAGGTTTCACTGTCACCTGGCACTAGTATTTCCAGCCGCTTCTCCCCACTGGCCCTAGCGATCTCCCTACTATTACTATTTACTCTACTTGCTTCCAAGATAAACCTGTTGCTGGGAAAGAACGGGCTAAATTCGAAAAATGAGTATTTTGTTGAAGTTGACGAGAGCTGAGTAACCTTCCCGCCTCAAAAAGGAGGGGAAACGGTAGGGCTATTGAGGAGGGTGACACTGCCACCTCCGAGTTCCGGCCCCGGGCTCTCTAGCCACCCTCACGAATCCTCACGCGTCTGTAAACTCCGAGCAGGCCCGCCGACGAGGGGCGGCTGGAGGCAGGCTCGAGCAGCGCGCGGCCTGGACGGACCCACGGCCGGCCATCCATCTTGCGGCCCGGCTCCCAGCCTGCCCTCCCGAGCCCCCCACGCCGCCACGGCCTGGACACATTCTGCACCCCGGGAGAGGGGCTCTGGATGCGCGGCGGCCCTGGTCCCCGGGCCCGAGCGACCCCAGGCCCAAGCGGGCCCCGGGGCCCGGCCTCACCTTGACGTGGAAGCGGATGAGCGCCAGGCGGATGCAGTGGGCCATGCAGACCGGCGGCAGGAACCAGACCTTGGGCGGCGGGGTGCCCTTGTTCTGGACATGGCTGACGATCTGCTGCGCCGTCTGGCGCTCGTTGCCCTGCCGCTTGACCCACTCGTGCAGCCGGGCCTTCTCGAGCGCGCCGTTGAAGAAGACGAAGAGCTCGATGTTGCCTCCGAAGCAGGCCTTGGCCAGCGCCGCCAGGTAGCCGAGCATGTGGTTCCACTGGCCGCCGCTGACCCAGTCGGTGTAGAAGCCTCCGTAGAGGCGGTGCAGGCAGTTGTCGGCGTCCACCAGCAGGCGCAGCGGGGTCTGCGGGGGCCGCTGCCGCCCGCCGCCCACCAGGCTGCCCCGGGCCAGCTTCTGCAGCTCCACCGGCACCACGGCGCTTGGACAGTGCTTCTCGATGTAGTCCTGGAAGCCCTGCACGCCCATGGGTAGCTAGATTTCTTCTGTGTCCTTGAAAAATAAGTATTTTCTTAGGGCTCGTTTCCCAGTATCCCTTATTACTACTGGGAGAAGCGTGTGTATCCAAATATGTTGAGAAAATAAAGCAATGTACATGCTTGATTCAAAATCTTTTATGTCTGAGTGTATCTGTAAATAAGCAGTTGTATTGATTTACATGTGATTTTTTCAGACACACCTTGCTCCTGTCCCCCCCATGTCCTTGCAAGTGCTACTATTTTTCTATTTGTCATTGCTGCTTTGTTTTTTTTTTTTTTGTTTGTTTGTTTTGTTTTTTATGGCCTGTATATTGATTCTCTTTCTTGGAGACTGCATTTGTGTGTCTTAATGACCATGAAATCTTCTTTGCTTCACAGACATTAAACATCCTTCCGTAAATATCTTATGGTACTCCTTTTTCTGGAATTCCACAGAATGTTCTATAAATCTTTATTGAAGCCCATTTGCTGCATGCTCTAACATTTTTCAGTATATTCATCTACCCACATTGGCACTAAGCTATATGAGGCCAGACTATGTCTTATTTACTTTTATGTCTTCATAAAATTTTTAGTACATATTACACATCCAATAAATACTTTATTGTATGCATATGTGTGTATGTATATATAAGGAAGATACTGAAGAGATATAAAAAGACAAAAGAAATACATGAATAATTTTAGGTACATAACATCTGCTTCACTGCACCTTGTAAAAATCTGTTATCACAACTTATCCGCGAAGGTGCTTCTCAGCCGCTGCAGGCGCTAGTTTATGGTCGTTCTTACACCCGTGACAGGTGACACGTCCGGATACATTGTAATGCCGGAATGCAGTCGCCCTAAGTGTCTCGTCATCACAGGAGGGACTTGTGAAATGCCTGCTCTGTGTCCGGCTCTGCTGTTGTTGCCTCAGTAGCGTCCTCTGGGAGGAGATCTTGACGTGCCTTCTATTCCAAAGCTCTGCAGCAATTGCTTCTCAAATGAGGCTACTACCGTATGTACATTATGCTTCAATAAAACGTTTTTAAAGAGATTCATGTCTTACGGAATGCAGCATTTTACCTAACTTCCACCTTCCAGCTCTTCTTTTTCTGGAGAAACCTCTAGAGGACCGGGATGCAGCCTACGGCCGAGGCCCTGTCACAGCAGCTACTGTGCGCATGGAGCCTGCACTTACCCAGTTTGTCCATGTAAGAAGAAACCCCAGACTGTCCGTGAAAAGGCAAGTTGATTTTGTTTTATTTTCTTAGAACTACCTCAAGTGCAGGCCGACATGATAAATACATAAATATATACATAAATAAAATGCTCTTGGTATTTTGATAAGTTATGTTTAATTTTCAAAAATAGATTAGCAGGTTATGCCACTTACCCATGCACAAAATTAGTGATGAATCCAGGAGTACACGTTATTTTAGAAATTAGCTATTTACAGCCATGTTAAATAACAAGGACTCTCAGGAAATGTCCAAATTTCGTCAGGTTCACAAGATGAGGAGTAGTAGTTTTAATCACTTATTGTATTTTCATTTTTAGCTTTGCATTCCATGTATATACCTGCACTGTGTATTTGTTTTTATTTATTTTAAACGTTCTTGCTTTTATTTTTTTAAAAATGCTTTAGTGCCAGGATCCGGGATCCTGGAAATTTATTTTCACCTTAAGACAATGTAGAGTGCTAAGGTTCTGGAGTCAGACCACCAAATCTGTCTCATCTTAACTCTGTGCCTTTTAAAATTACTTAACCTTTTTGAGCCTTGGTTGTATAGACTTTACACTTGAGAACATGGAGCAGTTACTTCACTTTTTGAAAGTTTAAAATTTGTTTTCATAAGCATGTAACATAAAACTCAGTTGTGCTTACTTTCCCTATGTAACTGTATGTTCACCTTTTTTAAAAACATTCTTTTATTTTTTGAGTAACATTATTAATGTCTGGCAAAATATTTGGCTATCAAACATTTTATATGCTCTGCATCCTGAGCCCAAATTCAGGGGTTGGTTGAAGTTAAATTTTTTAAATACTAAGGTAAAATTTAAAGTTATATCTTCTTGGATTCATAGTATGACAGCTAATGGTTGGGAATTTCATTTCCAATAATCTAATCTTTTGGACAGTTCACATAGAGCATAAGAAAAACTTTTAATTTCACAAAGAGATTGCCACACAAGTGAGGGAAAAAAACTCTGAAAAATAAAGAAAAATGCTGAAAAGGACATGACCCCATGCTTCATAAAAATTACAAAAAAAAAATCTCAGAAATAAGTTATGATTAATAGACAAAGAGAGCCAGCCCGTGTTGTGTAAAAACGATCAATATGTGGCAAACCAGTGAGAGAAATACTTATTTTCAGCCCTTTCAACATTTCAACCAGTTTGGTTTTTTTTTTAATCAATTTATCTATGGCCCAAAGCAGAAAAATACTTTCTTATTTATGCGATTCTTTCCAAACTATGTTTTATAGTAGAATAATATCTTTAAGTAATATTCTACTTAATTGAGGTTTCTGTCCACCAGCAATAATAGGTGAGGTTTCAATTTTTCAAGTAACGTGATAGAGACCTCACTCCCATCCATATATAATCATTACCATATTTTGGGAAACCAGCAGGATGGGGCTAAGCATGGAATCTGTGACCCTGGAAAGAGAACAAATTAATCCGTACTTGGGATTTGAATCTGTAATGTTTACGTAGTCTTGGGCCTAATCTGTTAATTACTTGTCAACTTAAATTACCTGGAGGAGCACACACTTATCTCTGCAGTCTTCATCGTAAATAGTAGATTAGTAACTGATCACACTGCACCATCATGTCAGCAGTTGAGAAGTGCTGTTGGTTTTCAGGCTCTATGATTCCGTCAGAACTGTGATTTACCTACATTAGGAAAGGTGAACTACATGGAGAGACTGATCAACATTCAGACTCTTAACAACTGATATATAGATAACTTGGTTTTTTTCTTTTCAGATTTCTAGAAGCTGTTGTATCAATAACAAAGTATCTCAAAAACACTCAAAAGACCACCAGCATTCATAATCATTCTTGAGACTAATTGAAAACTAGGCTAAAATTCTGCAGAGGCATTGAATTGGCAAGATACCATCCTAGTAGCCAGGTCCGTAGGTCCTATTTATTATGCGAGAAAAAACTCTCTATTCACTACTCCATAGCTTCTGGTTCTGGTTTCAGAGTTCTCTCTACATCGGAGGTGTTTCTTGAGTCTTAAGATGGCCTCAAAAGGCAGGAAGAAGGATGGTGAGATCAAATACCTCTCTCTGAGGAGACAGGAAGTGTAATGGCTTAGGAGTTTCTCAGTAGGCCACCACAAGCAGTTACATGTTTAATTTAACTCTAAATTTGGAAGGCCTTACCTACCTACTCTCATTTCACAGATCTGAATATGGAGGTCAGGAGGGGAAAGTAACATGTCCAAAGTCAGAATAGACTCAACAACAAAACACCACCACTCACTGAGCACCACGTATGTGCTGGGCGTTGGCTAGCTATTAGGGATATGGAGATAAAACATAGTCCCTTCTTCAAGGAGCTCAATCTAGCCGGGGAGGCAGATATATAAACAGTAAACAAATAGATTACAATGTAGTCTGGGTAAGTGCTTCAACATACTTGTATAGAAATAAGGAAGAGAAAGGAATAAATGTCACCCATATAACTAAGTAAACAATCCAGGCCTCCCACTGCAGGTCATTCTGTCCCCCAAGGTGGAGATGGCAATCCTGTCATTGAATTCTGTGTGCATCTTGGAGCCACACCAAACCCATGTGTGGGTCCTGACTACTGCTTATAAACAGCATCACTTTAGGCAGCTCTCATCAGCCGTTTGAGCTAGTGTCATCATCAGTAAAGCAGGGATGCTGCCTCACAAGATTGAAGACAACTCCAAATGAGAGTTTTCACATGGGTGAAAGCAACCAGCAGTGCCCTTGGTGCTTCACAGCTCCTCAGAATTTTCATTTTTTATTTTCAATCTAAAACAGCACTGCCTGGTTTTTGTGGTTCCTGCTTATTTTTGTTTGTTTCTTACCACCATGTTCACCAAACTTCTGTCCAAGTGGCTTTGGGCTGATTAAAAAATATCTGTGCCTCAGAGAGAAGACTCGTGATGGAAAACTTTCGAGTGCTGAAGGTTCCCTAGGCAACTCTCTCCAGCAGCGTGGACAGTGGGAGCTGCTATGGAATAAATGGACAAACGACCAAAGGAACTGCTTTGAAAGACAGTACTCAGTTGGGCATATGTTCTATCTTATTTGGGTAAAAGAACTTCATAGTCATCCTTTAAATATGGCTTGGGGCTGGCTGATTAGCTCAGTTAGAACTTGGTGCTAGGGCCGGCCCGTGGCGCACTCGGGAGAGTGTGGGGCTGGGAGCGCAGCAACGCTCCCGCCACAGGTTCGGATGCTATATAGGAATGGCCGGTGCGCTCACTGGCTGAACGCAGTGCGGGTGATACCACACCAAGGGTTGCGATCCCCTTACCGGTCACGAAAAAGACAAAAAAAAAGATTTTCAATGTCACTGAAAAATAAAAGATTATAGACTTAATAATCTTACCATAATGTTTATTTTTCTTGGGCTGCACTGGCTGATAGGAATTTCTGTTATGATGGAAATTATTTGTGCTAATATGGTAGCC